AGTCCGTATGAAGTTCCAGATGATGAGGGTAAGAGGAATTTGGTGGATAGTGCTGCGCCTATGGGGGCGGTTAGAGCGCCTGTACTGCAGCAGCAACGGCAGCAGTATACGCCGTATAGTCCTAGTAGGGATGGAGCTGGGCAGCCGGATTATTTTAGTAGGTAACGGAGTGGAGGGGGGATCTTTTTTTATAATGATTATAGGCATAGCGGGTTATGGTGTTTTTTTGGGACCATGTTCTTTTTCTTATGTGTGAAGATGGGGAAAAATTGGGGGGGGAGGGGTTGAAATTAATTATTTCGACCCCTTTTGCTTTGTGAAAGAAGAAGAAGAAGAAGAAGAAGAAGAATAAGATTTGTGGGGGATATCACTGAAATATTTTATCCCAATCGAGAAAATCAATCACGCGTTTCGAAAGAGAGAAAAAAAAACATCTCGTCTGTTCCGAGTACTTACGCAACCAAGTAACACTACTAATTCCCAACGAGCCAGTTCATTCCTTTGCCCCCTCTCTGTCTATATCTAGCATTCGATATATCACTACCTGTATATTCTCTTTTTCTTTTTCTTTTTCCCCACATCATTGATTCCATTCCATTCCTATCTTTTTTTTTCTTTCTTATTTTTCTTATCGCAACAAAAAACAAAATCAAGCGAAATGGAAATGCTCGAGATATCTTATCATGTTCCAAATTTATAGTCGGATGCAATGTGTTCTTACTCTCTTGCTCTCCCACTCCCTTCACCTTCATCTTTTTTTCCTGTCAGGGTGAGAGAGAGAGAGAGAGACTGACGGATAGGTGAAAGGGACATTTACGTTGCTGGAGTTGTAAATCGGTGCGTCAATGGGAAGGGGAGTTTTTTCTTTCTTTCTTTCGTGGACTCATAATGTCCCTCTTTTTTGGGGGGGAGAGTGTAGTGAGGAGGTGTGATGGAGATACCACAGTAGTGAATTCTATCGTGGTAAGTAATCGCTGTTTTACTAAAAAGAAAATAACGGTTCGGGGAATGCGAGTGAGTGTGTAGATTTCGAGACTTGGCTGTGTCTACTTAGGTTGCTAAGTACAGGAGGTGTTGAATCGAGTATCTCTGTAATTTCTTTTTGTTACGAAGGAAGGGTGGGTTGGGGGATTGTAGGAGTGGGACAGGGAAGAGAGGACTTAGGAGGTGGTGGGATGAGGAAGAGAGGGTGTATCCAAAGGGGGGGGGGTTGAGAGAAAGGGAAATGGGGAAATGGGTGGTTGTAGGGATTCTCAAGCTTGGGTTGTTGGGGAGGTGATGGGTGAGTAAGGATGGGAAAAGTAGCAAGGTATAGCGAGGGGAAAGTATTCCTTTTTCTTTTAGAGAAAAGAAGAGAAGGGTGAGGGGTTTGGGGGGTAACAGTGTAAAAGTCGGGCACTGGAACAGTGCAGTTATCCGCAACGACTGCTTGTGGGATTGGATTACCCCGTAGCGATGGCGCTATGGTTTTTTTTTTCGAGAAGTTGCATAATACAAACGCTGTTGAGGATTTGAAGGATTGAAACTGTGCATGGGTTGTATGGGGCTCTCGTGGCAGCGACTTGATCGCTTGAATCTTGTGCGTTGATACATGCTAGTTATGCAATGCATTTGTGTAGCATGTGTACCTGTTTGTCTTACGAGTCCGTCTTGCATATTCACTAGATATCCCTTGTCTCTGTACAAACGAAATCGATGGCTATCACTTTTTTTTGCCTAGTCTTGTAGCTGCTGGGAACGGTCGCAGTGATGCTTGGAGACCAGACACCCGAGAATAGAAGGCAGTTGTGGGCTCTGTGTGAGTCTAGATTGTGGTCTGTAAAGGCCATGAGAGACGGATGTTGTTTTTCCCCTAGGAGTCGTGTGCTTGAATTATATTATAGGAGCGAAGGATCCACGTGGAGGGTTTGGAACCGGGGTTCTCAGGTATTTGTAACGCGCCTGGTGTATGACTTTACGAGTAGGGCCGAGCCATGTCCGGCCGTCTTTCTGTTTGACAAGCTATTTGGGGTCTTGGATTGCCTATACAGTATATGCAACCTCGGCGTGTTTCGCGGAAAATTGTCTAGATTCAATGTTTCGTTAAGCTGTTGTTATTTGCAGGTTAGTGAGTAAAAGTCAGATGGGGATATGCATGGTACCTAGTCACGTGCCAGGAAACCGGCAAAGCGTTGAGACGGAATAGCACGTGACCATAGATACAAGTACGTCACCGGATGCGCAGCAATGGCAAGAACAAAACTCGCGATGAGCGTTGTGCCAGCAACTGTCCAAGGTAGACGTCTCGACTACAACAACCCCGTACTTGCTCCTGCCCAGACGTCGCATGGCTTCTCAGGTCAAACCGACTGTGTGGAGAGTTTCGCAACCGCACTTGGCCTCAGGCAATCAGCAAGCGTACCCAGCAAGTCTGTTTGGTCCCTGAGTAGGTGCCAGGACAGGATGCGACAAAATTAGCGAGCCGCTGTCATGATCGCCACCCTCTGCAACGTTTCCGGCTTTTTCTCAATGCCAACCAGTATTTTCGCTCTTGGCTCTTGGGCTGCCGAGCCACAGCCTGGCAGAGTGGAAGTCTGGGAGCCTGGGAGCCTGCAGATTCTCAGCCTCTGCTAGGAGTTGTTGTCTCAGAACCCCGCCGCGAAACAGCCAGCGAACTTTGATAGGCAAAATGTGTACTGGCAAAGTACCTTGACCTGGATGATTTCCATACGAGGGTCTGGAGAAAGGCCGAGAGTGTCTGGCGTCTCAGCCAATGGCCATGGACGAGAGAGCGATGATGCGGTTCGCAGATGGGAGCCCCACCAAACCTTGTCGGGTCCCTGGCACACGTACTCGCACTCGCTTGCCAAGGGCAGTGCCATGATCCGGATGTCATCTCTCCCGCAGCCAAAAGAAAAGTCGCCCAGTGCAAGCAGCGCAACGTCCATGGCTGAGTTTTTCGTCTTCAGCACTGCCGGGGCCACGCTGGATTCTTGTGGCGGATGCTAACGGGCGCTACGTCGACTAAGGTGCTGATTGATTTCAGCACTTGGCCCCCACTTGCATACTACAGTAAGCTGAGGGACGCCGGCCCAAAATTAGATTGGTCCACTGCGGGGACCAGCCGCCCTACGAGCACATGGCTTTGGGAGCGCTGGCTTGGGCTCACCGTGTTTCGACAAAAGTCAGTGTGGCATACAAAGCGATCCTCTGCTGGCTTGGACGCGACACGACAGGACCAGAGTACAGCGAAGACAGACCTTGACTGACATCACGCCGATCACGTGCATGACGTGTTTCGCCTCGCAGATCTTGGGCTGTGTGTGTGTGTGAGAGAGAGAGAGAGAGATTACTACTACGCCGCTAGCTCACTGTCGCCTACTTCCACAAGCAAGCATACCGTCCGTCAGCAGGAAGCTTATTATCCACCATCTGGCCCCCCTCGCCAGGCGTCCATCCTCCTCGCTCGAGTCGCATCAGCCGGCTCTTTTGCAGACCACACCCCCTCACCCACCCACCCACACACACTCACACACACTCTCTCTCTCACACGCACACTTTTCAGAGTGTCAGACGCTGATACCCGACAATGAATATGATGCGCAAGAAGACGTCGTATGTCAACATTACGCCCATTCCCTCCTTCATACCGCGTCAGCTCGCCATCGACTTCCTCCACAACCATGGCGAGATCATCGAGCTGAACCCGCTCGTCACTGGCCATGAGCCCATCAAAGCACCGCGTGATGCGCCCGCTGACGAGTTCTACTCGACCTGGTACGAGATCTCGGAGCGCATCCAGTACATACCCGGCATTGGCAAAATGGGCAGTGGCTCAATCAAGTTCCGCGGCGTTTTCCACGACCTCCCCTTTGGCCTCCAAACACACACCTATGCGCCTGCAAACGTGGACCTGCGCAACAAATGGCAGATTTGCGGAAATCAGCCCGGCGAACCACCCGAGCCAAAGGAACTAGGCTCTGCTGCCCCACCAGAGGGCTTGTACATTAGGGAAGATGTCGAGATCAAGTGCAATGTCGCCATGATGAGTTTTGTAAAGAAGGAGATGCAGGCTGCGGCAAAGATCATGGTAGATCGGTTGGTGAAGAAGGCCGAATTGCTCGACTCGGGTGCGCTTCACGCCCTGATGGAAAACGGCCGACTAAAGACCGTCAACCCAGCGGATCGTTCAACCCACGACTACAGGTCACCGCGTTCATCGCCATCACAAATATACTCGGCACCTCTGTCGCCCCGCCAGTCGCCAAATTTCCCTCACCGCCAAAGCCTAAGCTATGCGCAGCCCGACAACCAACACCCTCCTCCCATCCCGCCAAAGGAACTCCTTGGCCAGAACAATGTAGTCATGGAACTGCCAGGCGATTTCTACCATCCCAACCCTCCTGTATCCCAAACACCAATTAATGACAAACGTGCCTCTTACGCTTCTGAACCCTCGCAAGCCTCTCCTCAATTCCAAGACGCCCGCTGGTCCACAACGTCCCATAGCACAATATCCTCGCGACCCAGCTCTTATGCTACTTCAGACGGTATGCGGTCCCCCGGACTCGAGGGCAAAGCATTCGCGTCCGAGTTGCCGACCATGGAAGAGACTAGGGAAGAACACGAGTCAAGGCAGAAGAGGGATAGCTTTCAGAAGGGGCAGCAGCCCCACTATGCATACAACCCTCAGGATTTTGCAAGGACGCAACATCAATACGCACAGGGACCACCATACCCCGGTTACTAATGACTTTGTCGTTTCTTGGGGTGTCTGGATAGATGGGTGGGAAAAGTACCATCGGCAAATGAGAAATGGTTAGTTTTTTTTGGGGTGTTTTGGGGGAGGGGGGCGTTGGAATATATACACTCAAAGACGCGCTCACGACCAGGTTTTAACGATGGCACAGATTGGGCTTTTTTTTTGAGATATCCCCCTCTTTTTCTTTTCCAGCAAACGTAAACGTAATGATATTTTCTTATAATGAAAGAATTTTGACAAAAAAAAACATTACTCTTTTCTACGTACCAGCAGCGCCACCAACAGCAACAGCAACAACAACATCCAACGCGCGCCTCCCCTCATCCTTCCTCACCTCGACCCACCCTTCCTCCTCAACCCTCACAATCTTTCCATCGACACAAATCCTCCTCCATGTCGCATCCTCCTCTAGGCCTTGAAACCGAATGCGCAGGCCATGAATACTCTCATACCTCACCCCGGCCTCGCGGACGTGCTTGCCCCCTTGATACGCCAACCCCATGATGCGCATGGCCTCGTCTGCACTCTTCGGGCCGAAATGCACAAGGCGCAGACTCGCATCCAGAGGCGCCGAGGCCGGAGAGATGCAAAACGGGCGCTCGAGATGCGAGACTAGGGTTGCCAGGACGTACATGTGCTCTGTTGTCTGCATCTCTATCCAGGTTTGCTCGCCATTCGGTGATGATGATAATGGGGGGAGAAGTGAAATATGTGCTTTGTAGGCGTGTGGCGGACCGCCGTCAGAGGGATACAAGGCTTCCTTTGCGGCCATTTGGAAGCGCTGCACGCCGTATTGTCGGTAGTGTGCTGTGTCGCTGTCTGCGACGAGGGAGGCGTGCATGCCCCAGCTTGCTACGACAGCGCCGTGGAGGACGCCTTCTCCCTTTTCATTTTGCGGTAAGGGTTCTTCGGCGCGGGCTTCGTCGACGAGGAGGCGGGCGCCTGGGGAGAAGGTGGCTGTGAAGGTGGGGAGGGGTTTCGATTCTGGGGATGCGAGGGCGGCGAGGCCCCAGGTTGAGGGTTCGCTGCCCGTGTTGATGGAGTGGTAGAGGGCGTTTGCGGTGCCGAGGGGGAGGAGGACGACTTGGGGGGAGATGTAGGTGGTGTGGTGAGGAGGAGAGACCAGGCCGTTTACTAAATCAACGATGCCGCCGTCGCCCGAGAGGAGGATGATGCGGAGGGGAGTTCCGCTGTTTGCGGTGGGAAAGAAAATGGTCCTTGTATAATCGGAGATGCTGGTTGCTGACGTCGTTGTGTGGACTTTGATCTTGGATACCGCATCTTCGCCGTTGATGGCGGTTAGAATTGGCTTGACCACGGTGTTGAAGAAGTTCTCTGCCTGACGGGCACCAGACCCTACGGAGATGATAACGTGGGTTTCGCGTTGGGTGAGTGGTGTGTCTGTATTTGGCGAGTCGAGAGCTTGTTTGGTGATGTCGAGGAGCAGGGGTGGTTTGTTGGCATCTTCATTTTCTTGTAGAGTGACGGTGGCTTGGGATGTTCCATCTGCAGTTGGTAGATTAACGACAATCTTCCTAGGCTGTGGCGCCTCCGCCTCATTGACCGTTGCCATGGCTGGGGTGTTAATGGAGGGGTTGACTGAGGGGTGGGGAGCTATAAGATGATATCATCGCGGGGTTGCTTGTTAATCAAATCCAGTGCCGGCTATAACGACATGATAAACGTAATTGCGACATTCTGCTCGCAGGGTGAGTCTCATATCTTTACTGCTGCAAGCTTTTAGCTGCATGAAGAAATAGAATCTGTATCGCTCCAAACTCTACTGCTACTTGCTCTCCCGCTCTGTACCCAGATGGCAGGGGTCTCCATGTTACGTTAGCGCGATTCTCCCGTCACACCTACATATCCTTGCTACACAGAACTAGTAGTACAGTCAGATTAAGTGATCTTGGCAGGTCAAATGCAGATCTAAGCACCTTCTTCCATACAAGAGTTGTAGGTGAGCTTATAATGCACCCCCATTCAGCTCTGTTGCGGAACATCAGATCTCTCTCAGTCTGTAGATATATCCCGTCCCGTAGCGTCAACGTAGTCTAAGTCTATGTATGGCGATGTCAGTCTGGTGTGAACAGCCTGAAATAAGTTTTCAGCAGTTGGAAATGGATCATTGCAAGTGTATCAAGATGTGTAATTACGATATCATTAAACCATCATCTATCGCGTTGCGTTGTCTCTCGTATAAGAGTGCTTGGGGTCTTACAGTCCCAACTTGAATATGTACATACATTCTAATCGGATTACAAATATATATCGTGTCTAGGAAGTGACCTTGGAGCCGACCTTGAAACCTCCCTTGGGGAATGGCACAATGTTTTGCTCAGTGGTGTGCTTTACTCTGGCGAATGTGATGGTCTTGTTCTCCTGGTCGAAGATTGTGTAAACTGCACGCATAAATGGGTCTCCAAATATGCTAATGGACTCTTCGCGAGGGTGCATGAAGATGCCACATGTGCCATCAGCAAACAGAGTGACAATTTCGTGCAGCGGAACGTCAATCTTGCCACTAGCGCCGAATTCGACCGAGATGTAGCCCTTGGAATGGTTGGGGTCCCGGTTTATGCAGTCGACAGGGACCACCTGTTTTCCAGGTGGGGCCGAGTCGGTGATGCCAAATGCGTAGGAGACAGCGCCGAAGATGGTCTTAGTCACGTACCAGCTTGCAACGCCCGTGTCGATCAAGACGGGGACACCAACACCACTTTCTCCAAAGGTTTGTGAAGTGCGATTGCCGCCGTCAAGTACAACCTCCAGTGCAGTGACGTTCACATTGTTAGTTTGACCGCTGGAGAGTACAAATGAGAATGGATCTACCATGTCCAGCGTGATCATGTCGCCGCCGACCTTTGCCTTGTCGTAGGCGCCACCAATGATCATCTGGGCATTGGTGACGTTGAATTCATCCGGCCCAAGGTAGAAGCTTGTTGCCATGGTGTCAATTAGTGAGGCGTTCTTCAGCTGTGGTAGCAGGTATGGTCCCTTGTCCATGCATTCAGGTCCCTGCCCTCCACATTCAAGAGACAAGCCTAGATGTTGCAATCAAAGCATTAGACTACAGTCATGCACAAAGAAGGCAGGTGTCTTGACATACCCAGAATAGTGCCAATTGGTTTTGGAACTCGTCCGAGGAATGGATACTGGGACGTGTACCCGAAATACATCTTGGGCAGGGTGACGCCGCCCAGGACCAAGGTGTCATTGAGGTAATCGCCAGTTCCAGATGCGTAGAGAGCATCGAAGAACCCAGGCCCTTCATAATGGCAAGTTCTGGGGGATGTACAATTAGCGCTTGCAAATAGGAAGAGAGAAAAAAAGGAGTCAAAGATTGTGACTTACGAAGAGGTCAAGTTGTCAAAAGTGCCATAAGTACTGCATGCCGTTGCATCTAGGACACATTCTTGGTTGCGTGGGTCAAGAAAGGAGTATCGTGGGCTGCCAGTATCGACTTTGAGCCATTCCTTCTGCGGAGGCGTGCCGACGTGGAATTCAGCGTAGTATGCGGCGAGATCCGCGTCTCGGATCATGGGCACGGCGATGGTGCCTGGGGGAAGCTCGGCGGAGAGGGCGGGGAGTGCAAGTGCGGCGAGAAGCGCCCGCGAGACTATCTTGGAATCAGGCATGGTTGTCGACTGTGAGAGCAGGATTGTGCAGATGCAAACTGGAAAAGGAAAGACGGAATCATGGCAGGTCTTTATGTAAGTAGATGCCTGTCTCTTGGCTGACGGTCCCCAGGCACTCCTGAGGGTGGGTGGGTTGTGGACTGTGATCCCCAGAGCGTATGCACTGCCAAGAGAGTGGCCAAAGCTTGTATTTGGCTACGTACTGAGTCGCACCGTGCCGGGAACATACCCAGCACTAGCAATACGAGTACGATGGCGTCGAGTTTGGCATCGTGTACTTGCTTATTTGGCACAGACCATTGCACGCTGCGTTTGCAGTTGTGTCTCTTGACCGTGTGTGGGTTTGCGGGCATGCCGGTTTTTGGAGAAGGATATAGATGGGATTGCGGAGATGAATGTTTCATGGGGACCAAAGTGGACACTGCATTATGTAAACACGAGCTCCTTCCTATCCCAGGCCCATCCATGGACGTGTGCGTGCACTTGTTATCGCAACCCGCTAGCCGAGCAATCCCCGGCCAAAGTCGTCCGCCATTTTCACCGCATACACTTGATTGGCGGCTTCTTCTTTCCTGGCCGACTTTCCTTCCAATACACCGTCGTGATCGGCACACAATTTCCCACGTCGAGCCAAGGTCTTACTTTTTATAGACTACCAGGATGGGAAATGCATACATCGCTTTTGCTATTTCGGCCAACCTCCCCTGTGCACTCATCGTCTCTGCTTCTCCATACGACCCTGTTGACATCATCCCATGCAGCTTATACGGAAGTAACGCTAAGGTTGTAGAGCGCCTGCACTCTAAATCACTCTTACCTTGGGCCAATCAACACTTGGCTCCAAGGGCACAGTGTCTGCAATGTGCCCCGGGCAGAGGCATCCGTTGTTACCATGTCAGATTGTCGGCATTGCATCTGCTACATAGTATGCTAACGTGAGGTCAGCTCGACAGACTGATAAATGCCCCTATAGATTCAAGTTTATTCGGCATTACTTGGCTACACAGCACTTGCCGCGCCACACCATCATTTCTCCCCCATCTTCTCTCTACCATTCACACAGACACAATGCCACATTCGTCAACTGTGACAGGCAAGCTCGCACTCGCCATGCTCGCGTCTTCTGCCTGCGCCCTTGTAGCAGAACCTCGAGGTGCTGCCTACAGTGTCGACGCCGTAGCAGCCGCTCCGCCATCATTTGATTTCGAGGCCGAGTTTCGAAGAATTCGCTCAAGGCATCCTGCTGTGGAAAACGTCGACAAGAGACAGGCCCATGTTGCAGGCCAACAGCAGGGATCCGTCACGGTTGTGCCCAACGATCCTGGCGTCACCTACCTTACCCCTACCATTATTGGAAACCAGACTTTCAACCTGATTTATGATACTGGTTCCGCCGACTTGTGGGTGTTTGGAAACGAGACATCCAATATACAAGGTCCGGGCAAAACCTACTACTTCCCATCGTCGTCAGCACAACTGTTGCCCAACTACAATTGGACCATCACCTACTCAGGCGGCTCCTCGGCCAATGGCGTCGTTTACACGGATGTGGTCAAGGCTGGCCCGGTTGTGGCCGAGAAGCAAGCTGTCGAGGTAGCAACCTATGTCCCCTCCGATATTGACTCGGATGGTATCATGGGTCTTTCGTTCGGCATCATCAACCAGGTAAAGCCTGTGCAGCAAGCTACTTTCTTTGAAACTGTGGCACCGACATTGAAGAAGAAAGTCTTTGCGGCAAACTTGAGGCCCGAGGGTAATGGCTCTTGGGACTTTGGATATCTCGACAAATCCAAATACAATGGCGACATCACATATACGCCCGTCGTCGGCAACATGAAGCATTGGACTATAGCGGTTGGAGAGTACGGCGCGGGCAACAAAACCTTTGGAACAGCCACTATCGGTAATACCACTGTGGACTCTGGCTCCCCGCTCATCTACCTCCCCGACCAGGTCGTCGCCGACTACTACAGCCAGGTTCCAGACTACGAGTTGACACTTGGCGGTGACAACGCCTTCCCATGCAACGCCACGCTGCCAGACTTCACCTTCAAGATCGAAGACCAGACATTTTCGGTTCCTGGTCAATACCTCAACTTCGGTGTGAGTGACCCGTCCCGGATGAGGTGTTCGGGTGTCATCGTTGGAAAGAGGACCTTGCGCAATTCTCTTTTCGGCTCCATTTGGATGAAGAACTTTTATGTGGTTCACAGCATGGAAGAGAGCATTCCGAAACTCGGCCTTGCGCCCCAAGCCTAGACGGATTGGAAATGTCGCACACGATATTTGTATTGTATACTGGATGTTTTTTTTTCTGAAGGTTCACGTGAGATGTCAACATGTAAATACGTAGTATGTAGACTTACTAGTTTAATGACAGGTGATTTGTCCAGTTAGCTCAAAACAAGCTAATGAGCTAAGAAAAGTTATCCAAATTTGAGCACAGGTGTAATACTCTTGTATCCATACCCTGCCCCTGCTTTAGTGCAACCCGCAGGTGGGCGGCTTTGATCCTGGGGGCGGCGCAGCAGCGAGGGTTACGTCATCACTTGGCAACGGGCACCAGGAAAGAAGCCTAGAGTGAAAGGCGGGCAGGCTCAGCCGCGCCAGCTGTCCAGCTGTCAGCAGCAACCAACAAAGCGACAATTGCGACGTGTCGACGCCGTTGCATACAAACCACACCTTTTGTCTGCTCCACATAGGAGCCTCGCCGCCGCCGCCTCCGCCGCCTCCGCCAGCCGCTTGTGCTCACATCACGGCGATACCCGGTCCCGCAGAGGCCGAAAACCCAACTCTACGTCGTATCTCGCGCACTCGCCGTAGCCTCTACCCAAGCACACATGCGCAGCTAACCACGTCCCCTCTACCCCGTATTTCCGCATTCTCACGCCCGCAATCATGAACGGCTGGCTTGTCTTCGCCATCATCCTCATCCTCTTGGTCTCCGGCACCTACTTTGGCTGGTACTTTTACGCGCGCTGGAACGCTTCGCGCAATGGCCTTCCCCCGCCCTCAATGAACCCCATGGTGGCCTTTAGCAGCTCCAACGCCGAAGCCTCCAATTACCCGGGCCCTGCTCCCACAGGCATCAAGGGCTGGATCGACACCCAAGTCCGCAAGTTCAAGAACCGCAACAACCGCTACACCACCGGCAGCGGCTACGAAGACACGGGCTATGGCTCCCGCGGCGTCGGCGGCGGCCGCGGCGCAGGCAGCCGCCTCGATCCCGACGAAGCGTGGAGTTCGCGCGTGGGCGACGAGGCATACTACGAAGAACAAGAATTGGGCCTTCACGACCCCCCACATGCCGCCAACCAGTCTGCGAACCCGTTTGCCGGCGAACCCGCCCGTGGCCGCAGTCGCACCCGTGAGTCGTACGACGAGCATCTCGATGCTCACAGTGCTCGTAATCCCTTTGGCGACGACGCGGCGGCGGCGGCTAGTCTGCGCGGCGTCAGCCCCAGACCCGTCATGGACGCTGATACGGGGTATCATGGTGCTGCGACGGCGGGCAAGTCTCGTGCGGATCCACATAAGAAGAGTGGGAGTCCAGATAGTCATCATGATAAGAGTCCTACGGAGAGTCGGAGGAGTGTCTTCAGGGAAGCAATATAAATCTGTGTGAAGATGGACACATGGGGAGTCTGTGATAAATGAAGATGGGAACTTCGGAGATAGTATCATCAATTTTTTTTGGAACAATGTATCTTTTTTTCTTCTGGGCTCTTTGTTGGGATATTAGGGCTGAACAGCTGTCAAATTGGCACAAGGCTATGTTCACTGATGTATATACAATATACGCGTGCTAGCCCAAATTCCGCGGGGAAACAAAGTTTGTACCTCTCACACGTATTGACCCTGTCTTTTTTTTTGATTATTAGGCATTACTCGTCTAAAACATAGCATGTGCGGGGAATTTAGTAGCGTTTTTTTTTGCACGATTCATGGAGGATCGACATTGCGGGAACACACACAGACACACAGACACACACACACTACGTACGTAGTACGGTTATATGACGAAACAAACTCAGGGTCCAGTTATAGTAATGCGCTTTAACTTAGTCTAACTAAACCCCAAAAGCAAAAAAGAACAGAAAAAAAAAGAAAATTGCGAAACGAACAGCTTGACAAGGAACGAAAGCTTGTTATGTACCGCTAAATATCCAATTGACCAAGAGAAAAGACATGAATGATGGAGAGTAAGAAAAAAAAGGAAGAAAGAAAGAAAGAAAGAAAGAAATCTAAATCCGAGTGACAAAAAAGTAAAGAAGGAAAGCAACTCGTCATATCGCGTGACACCTTCATCATCATCATCATCCACCAACATCCCATACCCCCAACCTTCGCACACCCTTCACGCACCACCTTTACTCACCTCCAACCTCCCCACGTCGAAAAATACTCCACGTCATCGCATGCGTCTTGGCCGGATTCGACCCCGTCGGCGGCCGATTCACCCACACGATCTTCTCCCCACGACGATGAATATCCGGCCATTTCATGTGTGTCAGTGACGGGGTCCAGACGGGACGTTTGCCGTCTGCGAAGTCGAGATCGGCGGGTTGGGTGTAGCCGCGGCGGCGGTGGATGTCGCTTGCTTCTTCGTGGGCGATGGCCGGGGTGAACCAGGGGAGGGTGTATTTCCAGGTTGGTTTTTCAGCGAGTGGAAGGTCGGGGGTAGCGATTGGTTGTTGCGGGTCTGTGGCGGCGGCATCATTGTCGTTGTCGTCGCGACGGTGGATGTTGCTGACTTGCGTGTGGGTTATGGCTGGGGTGAACCATACCTGTGGGGGTTTGGTGGAGTAGATTTGTTCGGCTTTGGGGGTCTTCTTTTCTTCCTTTACTTTCTTTTTCTCGTCTTTTTTACGCTGTTTTTCGTACTCGGCGTAGTCGTCGCCTAGGCCGGGTTCGGATGCTCCTGGAGATTGACGGGCGAGGACGTGAGGGGCTTCGTAGGTGGTCCAGTCTTCGGATGGAACAGCAATTGGCCGGTTAGGGTTCAAAGGGGGTAGTGGTTTGGAAGGTGAATGGCCGTGTTCGAAGAATTCTGGTGGGGGCACTGGACTTGGCTCCCGTTTTTGATACGCCTTGTCGAGAGGCTCCACGCTGTTAACTAACCGATTAGGTGTGCGACCATTGGCCATGTGTAATGGATATCCTAGTCTGAAATTGTTGGCTGGACGGGAAACCTCCCTACGCCAGATTACAGAAGCAGGTTTGTGAGTAACCTTGTCAAGGCTCATTGCAATTTGATCCTCTGAGACCTCCGGGTCCTGATCAGAAACACTCGCTACAGTTTCTTTTGAGACGAAGTCTTCATCACCTTCTGCAGTCATAGCCTTGGTTGGCAGGGAGGATACTGCTGGCTCAGTTTCGGAAAGGGCATCTTCGCGGCGGTAAATAACACCAGCCTTGTGGTGACGCTCAGCCCAAAGACCGCTAGTAATCAGGTGTTCTGACAAATCCTTATCAACAGGCTCAATGCTTTGGATACTGTTACGCTTGCTGGCCAAGTGTATCTCATCGTCAGCCGGAAAACCTGGGTTGATTTCTGAGATGGGCCTTGGGTTGATGGTTTGTGGAGGCTCAGTAGGAGCCGGCATAGCGATGGGGAAAGGCCTGATATGCTTGCCGGTATCAGTAAGAACCGGTACAAGATCCGGATGACGGTTGAGGTAGGGAAGAGCATGAAGCTTCGTATCTTCTTCGTTAACCTCGCTATCATCAGCGGGGTCTCTAGCTACTGATTTAACGAGAGTTGCCAGCTCATCCTCTGACCCATCGTCACGTCGCCAGACGCCCGTGGCATATTGGTGAGTAACAGAGGGAGCCATAGTTGGGCCACAATACTGGTCGAACAATTCCCTGTAGCCGATGAGTATGTTCCCAATCAAGTTCATCATAGAGAAAATTAGAACTTACATCGGAAAGCTATCCATTATACAAATTGGGCAGGAAGCATCCTTCTTCTCATCCCTGTGTTTCATTAGGACTGGTCAAGTTGAAGTCAGAATGGTCTGTACTTACCAGGATAAACTGGGGTCGTCACACATAGCTGCATATCTTGCGGCAACAGAAGGCCGTCCGGTAGGTGTAGCTAGAACTCGTGATGAAATGAGACTAGCCAGCACCACGTAGGCGAAGCATTGATGCGGCATCGCTGTAGCTCCCAGTGTACCCAGAATCCTGGAGAGAGATTGACAGGTCGTTAATCGGGCGAGTTGGAGAAATGCAATCCGGAAACCTTGCAGTGAAGGTAGTATTCAGTTTGACCGGTTGATTCTGAGCGTGTTGATCTGATTTATGTCCTGGCTCGAAGGTCGTCGCCCTCTTTATCTTGCGTTCAAAATCTGCCTGGTGGGAAGACTCATGCAACCTAGCATCATTGTACCTCTTGCACATGGATTAAAATTCGCCCGAATCCCTCAGGCCAACCCTCTGGCCATTATGAAGCATGTATCAGCGCGTACTTTGGATTTTTTTGGCCCCTTGAAGTTTGCGCTACAGACTTCCTCCTTCTCAATCTGGCTTCATAGAGAGGCGTAGTGAAGTTGATATGCAGGTCTATGCAAGTGCATGCGAGACGGGCTACGAATAGAAACAACCCTGACCCGAACGCCAGGTTGGGGTAAGCGCCATGTAGAGGTTCCAGACTAGTACTGCGGAAGTGACGTTCCCGACTTCACGGTTGACGGCAGGGTTCCTTGGCGTGGCTTTTGGCCCCTGTCGTATTTGTAGTAGAACATCGATGATTAAGCGACCAATACGATGACCTACTCCGAAAAACGGGGGGCCCGAAACAACAGTAAACTCTTTTAGAAGGGAATCCACTAGATCTTAGGCGCCTCGTCTACAATAGTATCGCACATGCCAATCAGAGTAAGCCAGGATGGGGCCAGGGCAAAATCTCATCGTATCAGATGCCTCGCGATTTGAGCAGAAGCAACGCCCCATTCGTTGTCCTTGAAGATCGAGGCCATCGAGTTAGGCTGTCTTGTCTTTGCGGCAACTCAAGACCTTCTAGTCTGATATCAATTATGCCACATCTGGGGTCGTCAGGCGACTTCTTATCGAATGGCCCAGATGTAAAAACTGCTATCTCGGCAACGTCTATCGGCCGCTGTCAGCCACACTGTTCGAATTCACTTGACCCATATATCTTCCGCAATGTACAGTTGACAGTACGATTGCTATTAGCCACGCGTTCAGTAATATACCTTCGAAAAGACGCTTGTGCGTCTTTACTCTAATATCAAAATGTCGTCGGTCGAAGTTCTGCGTGCAGGTACGACGGCTGCTCCAATCTCATTTGCGCCGTCCCAATACTTCGAAGGGGACGATGGGAAATGGTCCACCTTTGTAGTGCGTGTTGGCACACCCGAGCAGAGCTTTCGCGTCCTGCCATCTACGGTCTCTAGTGAGACATTTCTTCCCATGGCCGGTGCTTGCAAAGATGACGAACACATGAGCGCGGTTAGTTTAATTCCTGTTACGTATGAGAAATCTTGACTAACATCTTCCAGAAAGATTGTGCTTTTTCGCGTGGTGCGGAGCTTTACCAGGGTCGAACCAATAATGGTTTCCAGGCCAATCTGTCCAGCACATGGCATGAGATTGGCATCTACCAGACAATGACCCGTGAAGAGTTGGGTTACAACGCGTCTGGTCTCTACGGTCTAGATACACTGGGGCTGATGATCGCGAATTCCGGAGGACCCACTTTGGAAAATCAAACAATTGGTGCTGTGGTGAACCCACGTTTGTGGGTTGGAAGGTTAGGGATGGATGTCAAGCCTAGCAACTTTTCAGATTTCGCGAATCCGCAACGAAGTTTGATAAAAACCCTGCATGAAGAAGGTTACATACCCAGTCTGAGCTATGGTTACACAGCCGGCGCATACTACAGTGAGTCAACACGTGTACATACGAAGCGGAAACAGAGACAACTTACAAGCACTACAGAACAACCGAACGTATATGGGAGCTTGACTTATGGTGGCTACGACCAGTCACGATTCGTTCCCAACAATGTCACGTTTCCCTTTGATGCCAATGACAGTCGTAAACCTTGTCTGAAGATACAGACAATAATAGGGCAAAACATGTCCGGTGAGACTATCAGTCTTCAGGAAACTGTCGTGCCGTATATGCTGGTCGACTTTGCAGAGCCACACATATGGTTACCAGTGTCGACCTGTGACCAGTTCGCACAGGCTTTCAACTTGACGTACGACAACAGCACAGACCTGTACTTGGTTGACTCCTCAACTCACGCAAATCTCGTGGAGCGGAATCCAACAATTACCTTCGGACTTGGACAGACAGCATCCGACCTCTCAGGCCGGGTCAATATAGTGCTGCCCTATAGTGCGTTTGATCAGCAGGCTTCCTACCCCATTTATGAGAATGCAACCAATTATTTTCCAATAAGAAGAGCGTACAACGAGTCCCAGTACACCTTGGGACGTACCTTCTTCCAAGAAGCGTACATAAGGATTGATTATGATCGAGGGAATTTCTCCATCCACCAAGCGCTGTTCCCAACATCTGGCGACAAACAAGAAGTCGTACCAGTGTTCAGTCCAACCGAAATATCAAATGTCCAAGGTCGAAAACCACTGAGTAAAGGCGGGATCGTAGGAATAGCAATAGGTAGCATACTCTTGTTAGCAATTGCATCGTTTTTGGGACAGTGGGTTTGGCGGAAGAGAAGGAAGGCAAAGGCCCCACAACAGCCTACAATAGAGGATCCAAGCATAGAATGTGAAGGTCAGCCCAGGATCGAGACTGAAGGCGCGGCTGTTTTTGAGAAAGATGGGTTACCCTGTGCAGAGATGGAGGGACACATCTTCCCAGAGTTGTATGCCCCACATCCGTTGACGGAAACCGATATTCCAGTTATTCAGATCACAAAAGCAGATCTCAGTCCGGTTTACGAATTGTGCGAGAGCACCGACAGTAGATCATTGAGCGGCGGAGAGTCAGAAGCTGGGATTTTAGAAGAAAGGGTGGGACCCCCACCGGGCTGGGTATGAAGTAATATGGGGAACACATGGTATGCTATGCCATGAGAGCATACCACTGCTCATTTTACTAATGTGAAATGAGAAATCTACAAAAACCACATAGTTGTATGTATGTGAAGGTCTTGTGATGCTTTTCGAAGCTATTCCCGGCTCCTTACTGTGCGTGCTGCCTCTCCTGACAACGATGCCTGACTTCACAGGTGATTCTTAGTCTCAGGGGATGTGTGACGTCATCTAAAAAGCGGAAGTAAATGTTGAAAGTGACTGCGAGATCCCAGAAAGTCTGGATCGTCGAGCAGGGAAAGAGTGATGATGTATGGTTCTTGGAGAAGGAAGATCGTTATTCGGAATGACCTGAAATGCCGCTGCCTAGTTTCAATATGGAAGGGCAGTGAGTTCCTCAAGTGACAGCGCTGGGTTTCGATATACAACGGCGCGGCGAAGATTGAAACATTGCGCAACTGTGGCCGGCCGGATATGGCAGGAAGACGTGTGGATTTCAGACTGGTCATTATGCGGACTGCATTGCGAGATTCTATTTGTATTGCGGGGAAAGGAAGCGGTATTGGACTTACTTAGGGTAGCTCCAGCGTCCCGCCTCGTATGTGGTACCATCCACGAATATCATCGATACCTTGCAATGAGATGAGCAATATGTTACCAAAGACGTCGAGATCGTCTGGCTGGGCTTCCTTCAATAGATTTGTAAAGTCCAACCCCTTGACAACAAAGTGATTCTTTGCATTCCAACTCATGGCGAAATCGAAGGCGTTGGTAGCTCTCCACAAGTGCGCGGATAGTGTGATGTGAGACTGGAGTGCGACATCTTGGCTGCAAGTTTTGATTTGACCCGTAAGGACCGTGTACATCACTGTGAATTGATATGCCGCCAGAACTGTACGTCGAGCTGATTCTCGGAAGACGAATGATCTCCATGCTGAATGAGCAGCTGTGGAAGGATACAATGGAAGAGCACCCACGTGCTCATTCTCCTCAGTAGCAATCGGCAATAGCATTGCTCCCATGTCATCCAATTGAGATGATAAGGCATCGGCCTGTGTACGGAAGTGAATGTCGCCTCCGAATACAAGCATGAGTTGGTACAACATGATTGCTTGGGTTCGAGCGAGGATCTCAATCGGCGTTTCGGGTACAGTCTCCTTGATCAGTTCTTCCACACGACTCCGGATATGGTATGTGACACGCTCAGCGTTGATCTCGTTTTTGGTGATGTAGAGTGCACATGTAGCGTGTGCGTCTTGCATGCAACGGGGCATATTCTTATCGTAAAGCGTTGGATGCATCCATGGCGTGCAGTTTTGCTCTACCATTATTTTTGGTACCAGCTGCATGTGCTCGAGAAAATAGCCCATCCTCGCCCTTGCGTAAGGAGAGAGATTTATGGACAGGCAATAATTCCTCGCCTGCGTCAGAGCTTTCTGGATGGCTATCTTGTTCTCGAGGTGTGGCGAGTTTTGCAGTGCAGCTGGGAAGGGGGTAATACAGGTCGTATTAGCCGGGAAATCGAAATCCAGGGTGTCCGTGTTGGAGGTTGTGACTATGGCAGACTCGTCGAAATTGAAATCGAGATTGATATTTTCTAGGTCCGTAAGATCCAAAGGCAGATTGAGTTGATTGATCGTAGGATCGATATCAGTTGTGAAGCTGTACGGGACTGTGGCGTTAATGTGAGGCTGCGATGGATAAATGCAGGAAAATCGTTGTCTGATACATCTGGCGCAACTGGGCTGCTCTAAGCCACATTTGCGTTTGGATTTCGCGCATTCTGAGCAAGACCTTTGTCTGCCCTGAGAATTGGTGCCTCGTGTCCGGTCTGCTGGCATGATGTAGCGCCCGGCGTAGGTGATTTAAGATGAGGCTTTTGTAGGCGGCGGTACGTACGAACTACGTAACAGCATTGATGGCCAGTGCCGTCATTACTCAGCATTGGGTGCCTGGTTAATGCCCCTGGATAACTCCAAAATCGGGCTCTACGATGTTAGCATTTGCAATTTCCATCGAATCTCACTTATCTTCATTGAGAACTACATGGATGCCCCACTGCGGATCTCTTATCGTAAGTATCGCAGTCGACCATTCAAAGCAGCGAACATCGTCACTAGGCCCACCTTCGTGGAAACTTCCTCATCAACATAGTTAGGTACTGCTGTCTATTTTTGTGCGTTGCTCAAATTCAGCCTTCATGCCGCGCATTTTATTTGGATTTCTGTGACTAAATTATTGCCGACGTTTGGCTGCGAGTAGGTGATGTCAGCGTTACTCCCTCATAGAGTGGAGCTTGGCTAAATGCCGCATCATCAAGATACGACACATTTTGCTGAATAATAAAATGGCAAATATGTCAAATCTTCATTGTAATTTGGATACTAAATATGAAAGTTGGGTAAACACAATGCACCGGCCCGGTAACAAACTATAGCAAAAGGTCAGAAGTCATAACATCCATCACAAATGGTACACGAATCTATCTTCCTTGAATGTCTTTAATTGAATTACTTCCTACTAAGATACTTTAGGATATGAGAATTGGTCCCTGAGACCTATGCGCTGACATTGACAAGGTCTCTTGTTTTCTCTAACTCGGTATCCTGGCCCCGCTGTCATGTACTTGTAGGGTCCTACCATACAAGCAACACTGTCGTTCTTCCGCTCAAGATTTGACCGTCATCCAGCAATGCCTGGACGCCAGAACGAGCTAATCACTTTCCGATCTCCTGCGTGACTGCAGCCAACTCTTGATGCGGTAAGTGACGTATGCAGCTACCAGCATGGATCCGATCATGAAATTCTCGGCAGCATCCTTCACTTGCTTCGAGAAGTCTTTTAGCGGCGCTCGCGGCATGAGAATCAAGCGGCGATCTTTATGACTGTTCCACCGCTTCCAAGCAGACTCTAAAGCTGCAGTAGCCACAGAAGCCAGAGCCCAAACGCCCCCAAAAATGATGGGAGCACCGTAGCCGCCCATCATTGCGCTTGTACAGGTAGCGAACAGAGAGTGCGCCACAACATTGCCGATACCTGCTTGAATGATAGCCGCAGTGCTGCCTAAGACAAGTCAGAATTCTATGATCGGTCTTTTGATAAGGCGATTGAATACTTGCCAGCGGCGATCCCGGTAGGTCCAAATCCGATAGCGAGAAGAGTGATTGCTGTAATCATGGTAGCAACAATGGGTGCGACTATGAGAGCCGTCTCCCATGGGTGCGCCTTCATCCATTTTCCGACTTCTTTTGCGGTGTCCAATAAGCCTTTCTCCTTGATAGTCTGAATGGTATTGCTGATGAAGTCTTTGACATGTGACACAGCCATCTCGACTTTGATCACGACAGAGTCGAACACTCCTCGGCAGAGAATTTTGAACCTTTTTGCAATGCTGCCATTGCCTCTGGGCGTAGGGTTATTGTGCCCGTCGTCGTTCGGCTCTGACGCGTTTGTGACGTCAGGAAAGCCAGCGTCCGAGTCGTTCTCTGATCTTCCAGCGTCGCTGTGCTTGTCGGTATCATTTTCAGAGGGGACTTTTGGATCCATAGACTGTTCAGGGCGACTAGACTGTTCAGGTTCTTTAGGCTGTTCAGGCTGTTCATACTCGTTCTGGGGAGCTTCTGCGTTTTCTGAAGGAGTGTCACTGTCTTGACTTGGTAAATTGGCAGCTCGAAACATGCGGGGTATTTCGGCCCAGGCATTGAAAAATTTCGGAACGTTCATGAAGATGGATACGATCTGTCGTTTCGTGCTGAGTGTGTTGTAAGGGTTGAAGCCACAAGAAGGGGGGTTGTTGCTAGCTAAATTTTACCGCGCCGCACGAGTGCAGGTCTCACCGTGAGAATGGCTTGGCATTCATCGTTCATCGTTTCCCGCAGGTGTATCCTGGAAACACGCTTGGCTGACTTTTCATCGATTTCATTTCCACCTGGATTCAGGTTTTGTATGTGGTGAGTGATCTGCGAGGAAGTAGACCAACGAGGTGAGTTGGCGTCGATGAGGCAATCCAATGTCAGTGAAGGAACTATATCTTTCTGCATGAATTGATTGCAGCACGTATAGAAAAGCAAAAACACAAGATGCGCTAAGTTAGCAATGACGCATGATTCTTTGCTTCTTGTGATGATGTATCCAAGTAGTTGCGAGAGTACAATATGATCCATTTCTTATAGCCCGCTTCGCAGGATGGGAGTGTTCAGTCTGAGCGTAAAACGATTTGCTCACATTCTTTTGAGTTTTGGCGTTATAGCCTGAGAAGCAAGTCCCTGTGTGCGGTGACGCCTACCAATAACGTATTACACTTGCCAGTAGGATGCTCTGCGTATCGGTCATGTTGCTTACGCAGTCTCCACTAGCAAAAGTTTGGATGACCACGCGTAGCGTTTCGCATTCGGATGGTTCGGAACCAAAGCTTGCTCAATTGGTTGAACCATGAATTGATACCCAAAGCCACGTTGGGGAACATAGGGCCCCATCAAATAATATTCCAAAACCCTCGTGTATCTTCTAAACTGGGCTCCCAGAGTAAAAGAGACATCGAAAAATTCTACTATAGACCTACAAGATACGATGCATTGGAATCTGAACCAAACCCTCGAGCAGTAGTTGAGATGGCACGCAGCCATTACACGATCTCTGACCCAACAATCACTAGGAGCAGCAGGCATTGGTTGTGAGACATTCGATGTCTCAATCGAAAGCAGGCTCAGGGTTTGTTCGCACAGCACATCCGTCATGGAAAGACATACTATAACCGGTCTCAACTGTTTCAACCCGGCAGGCTTGGGCTGAATACCATCTGTCTGGGGTGACGTCTCACCGGCATAGAGCGATCAGCCAGACGATTAGGTTGCAGCTCAGCTTTGCCAGTTGGATTGATTAACCAATCACGAGACAAGTAAAATGACCATACGCGTGAGTAGTTGACAACCAGTACTATGTAATGAGTTTCTGACATCCTTTATCTGGGTAGTGATTGCTACACTGTAAGCTAAGAGGAAAACACGATTCGCAACCTTCACACGCTGGTGACATCCAATTTGCTATCCCCAGCATTGCGGCATTCATGCAGAGTACTGAAAGAGAAAAGAGCGCAATTTAGATATTGGCAATGGACAAAAATCGTGAGAATGGATTAGTTGTTTCTCACGAATGGGATGTTGACACGAGCACTGGTAGGTCCCAGGGCTCAATCAGAATAGAGAAGAACAGCGATTCTGGTTCTCAGCATGACTTTGCGGCGCGACTCCGGGATGTAAATCCTTCCAAGTGCGATTGGTGTACATGTATAGAAGCATGGACTTGGCCGCCCGCCTGCAGGTGGTGGAGTGAGACCAGGCTGCACGCGCCAGCTTGTTTTCACTCGCTGAAGGGTGTTTGCGTGAAAAGACAAGGCAGCAGAATGACGAGTGGGGTGCGATTTCTTTGTTGGAGTGGAAAACATGCTGCCTGGTGTGAGGGAGAGTGGTGTTGTACCAGTGACGATGGGGTTGCGGGGCAAGTGACGGCGTGTCTGATTATCGATTAGCGTCAGTGGCGTACTAGTAAGTAGCCGTGCGTCGGTTCGCCGCTGCCCCCGCTTTCGTTTGCTAACCCGCATCCAACGCGTTGTTGTCTCAGCCTTGTGTCTCTTCGCCTACACACTTAAGAAGATAATATCACCTCTCGCTTTTTTTTGGACACACACTTCGTATTGATAGCAACGACTAAATTGACCACTTTTTGGTGTTGGTGGGATTCGTCTCGTCTACACCGGTTTTCCCAGTTCGAAAGCCTCACTCAGCCATTCAACCATGTCTTACGCACCCCGAGGCGGAGGCGATAGAGGCCGCGGCGGCGGCTTTCGTAGCGATCGCGGCGATCGTGGCGGAGGTCGCGGCGGTGGAAGAGGAGGAGGTGACTTTAGAGGTAGGGGCCGAGGAGATGGAAGAGGAGATTTTGGAGGTCGTGGCCGGGGCGACATGAGAGGTGATTTTGGCGGTCGGGGTCGAGGTGAAGGACGAGGTGGTTTTCGGGGTGGGAGAGGCGGTGGCATGCAGGAAAACCTAGCCTTCCAGTAAGACGACCTGTCATACTACCCACGCCCGTATTGCATTAATCTGGCCTATAGGAACCCTCGACCCGTGGACCAAAGGGTCTTGAATACCGAAAACACTTTGCATCCCCCCGCGAAGAAGACCCTTGATCTTGCGAGTCTTAAGCTTTCCGAAGACTATCCAACCCGCCCAGGTTATGGCACCCAAGGCGTCGAGGTCGAGCTTACTGCCAACTATGTCGAGTTTCTCACGCCGTCCAACATGGTATTGTATCGTTATGCCATTGACATTACTCCCGAGGTTACGGGCAGGAAGCGCCACCGCGTTGTGCAGCTCTTGCTCGATGCCCCCGAAATGGCGCAATACAAAGGTCACGTCGCTACTGACTTCCGTTCAACCATAGTGGCCAAGACCAAGTTCACCAATGATAGGGACATTGTTGAGATTCTGTATCGTTCCGAGGGCGAAGACGACCCTGCAACGGAAGCCAAAGTGTACAAAGTCTTCCTTCAATTCACAAACACCTTGAACGTCGGCGATCTGGTGAATTGGATGAACTCGACCAATCTTTCTCAGCGTTTGGAACACAAGGGTGAACTGACTCAGGCACTCAACATCTTCTTGAACCATTACGCCAAGTCGGCTAACAACCTCGCCACCATCGGGTCATCCAAGAGCTTTTCTCTTCACCAAAACGCTTCCAGGGGCGACCTTGGCGCCGGTCTGGAAGTCATCCGTGGATTCTTTTCAAGCGTACGAATTGCAACCTGTCGCATCTTGGTCAACATCAACGTTAGCCATGGGGCTTTCTATCACAACGATTTTTTGCCACGCCTCATGCAGAGCTACGGTATCCGTAACACGAGCGCTCTCGAGAAGTTTCTTAAATTGGTTCGTGTCCAGACCACACACTTGAAGGAAAAACGCAACAAAGCTGGTGAAGTCATTCCTCGGATCAAGACCATCTACGGACTTGCCAGGAAGGACGATGGACATGGCATGGAACACCGACCGCGGATCAAACAGCACGGTGCTAGTGCTAGGGACGTCGAGTTTTGGCTGGATGGGAAAGACACGCCTGCTGCTAAGGGCAAGGGTAAAGGTAAAGGTAAAGGTCCAGTACAAGGTCCAACAGCCTCTGGATCTGGAAAGTACATCAGCGTATTCGATTTCTTTCGCACAAGTAAGCTGACTACCCTTTACCTCTCTTTGGGAAATTTCGCTAACGCAATACTACCAAAGCGTACAACTATGTTCTTAAACAGCCTGATCTTCCCGTCGTGAATTGCGGTAATCGAGAAAACCCTACATACCTCCCACCAGAAGTCTGTGTTGTCGTTTCCGGCCAATCGTCGAAGGCGAAACTAGATGCGTTGCAAACTCAGGTCATGATACGACATGCGGTCAGGAAGCCATGGGAGAACGCTGAGACCATCTACAAGGAAGGAATATCTACTGTTGGTCTCGATGAAAAGACCAACGTACTTCTGCGCTCCTTCGGTCTTAGCATCACACCAGGGTTGATCAAAGTTCCCGGACGTGTCCTGAAAGGACCAAAGGTGATCTACAAGCACGAGGAGGGAGGTAATGGGACCAAATTTGCCGAGCCGCGAGATGGTAGCTGGAATATGATCAAGATCAAGTTCAATGTCGGTGCTCAGCTATTGAAATGGAAGGCTGTGATGATTGGACTTCCTTCCCGACAGGACCCTTTCAGACAACCTGAAATGAGTGCTCTCATGCAAGAATTTCACCAGGGTCTACGCAGAATTGGTATCGATGCGCAACCGCCGGCCGCTCCTGAAAGACTGCAGCTGAAGCATCCGGACGACCCTGCGCTCAACAATTATCTTAAGGGGGTTGTTGGGAAGGTACAGTTGCTGTTGATCATACTCCCCGAGTCTAATATTCCTTTGTACAAGCGCATAAAGACACTTGCTGACAGGGATTTCGGCCTGCACAACGTTTGTGCTGTTGGCACCAAGCTAGCCAAAGAGAAGGGGCGACCTCAGTACATCGCGAACGTTGCACTCAAATTCAATCTGAAGCTTGGCGGTGTCAACCAGAAAGTAGAGAACAAGAATCTTGGAATCATTGAACAGGACAAGACCATGGTAGTTGGCATCGACGTCACTCATCCCGCCCCGGGTTCGGCTAGCAATGCACCTTCTGTCTCAGCAATGGTCGCTTCAGTTGACAAAAACCTCGGACAATGGCCAGCAACTCTCCGCATCCAAAAAGGAAAACAGGAGAACGTCGATGAACTTGCTGGGATGCTCAAGTCGCGCCTCAATCTCTGGAAGACAAAAGGTCGCCATCAAGCCTTCCCAGAAAACATTCTCGTATATCGTGATGGGGTTTCAGAAGGCCAATACGATATGGTGCTCAATGAAGAGTTGGTTCAGATGCGAAAAGCATGCGAACAGGTGTACCCGGCGACTGATACCAAGAAGGGTCTTCCGCGCTTTACCGTAGTCGTCTGCGGCAAGCGTCATAAGACACGATTCTACCCTACGAATGTGCAACAAGCTGATAGGTACGGCAACACACAACCTGGCACTGTCGTAGACCGCGGTGTGACGGAAGCTCGCAACTGGGACTTTTTCCTTCAAGCACACGCCGCACTCCAAGGCACAGCCCGGCCATGCCACTACTACATCGTGCACGATGAGATCTTCCGCCAGATCTATGCCAAGCAAATCCCTGCGCCGTTCCAAAATATCGCCGACGTTATCGAGGACCTGACACATAATATGTGCTACCTATACGGTCGGGCGACGAAGGCCGTCAGCTTATGCCCTCCAGCATACTACGCTGATCTTGCATGTGACCGTGCACGGTGCTACCTTGCTCATCTGTATGACACTCCCGCGCCGAGCGCAGCACCTTCTATGGCTGGCACATCAGTTACTGGTACTAGCGCCCCGGCAGCGGAACCTGGGTCTGTGGAAATCCACACCAACATTCGCGATTCCATGTTCTACATCTAGATCCTTGACCGCGCTGAAACTTCGTGTAAGAAGCAACAAACATCGTCACGCTGAAATTGACATGATTTGGAAGAAATCGTTCAGCACACAGGGTATGGTATGGTTGGGCGTCCGGGATATAAGTCTTGTTGAATTGAATGTTCGTATAGCAACCGCAACAAGTACCTAACAACGAATACACTCATTATGATTCTCGTAAAAATGACTCGTGCATGACTCAGGTAATTGCACATGGAGAATCGGCGTTCATCAATGCCCTCGCACGTTGTAGGTTCGGAGTTAACGACTCAGATATGCGATTACCAAACCTGGCAACTGTTATCATGGCTTGTGAATTCCGAATCATGTTTCGCTAATCTCAAGGAGCCCTGGAATAGGTGGTAGGTGATGAGCTTCCTTATCCTATCTAGCGCGAATCCTAATATCATTTGTGGCTTCGACGTCTACCTAATCCGATGACTCATGTATGGTCATCGTAGTACTCCGAAAATATAAGGGATGTACATCGGACTTTTTTGATGCCCAACAAAAGCACTCAGCATCCATCGCCGTACGAAAACATTACCCAGTTACGCGAAAACCAATATGTCAGACCCAAATTTCCACATCACTACACCACGACTCTACCTCTCCTACGCCGACCCCTCAAATGAAGCTCACATCGATTTCTCCCTGGAACTCATCAACGGCGCACCCGCACTCCGTTCTCAAGGCTCCACAGGCACCAGCGCCGCAGACCGCGACGCCGCCCGCAAACGCATCGCCGACACAATGACCAGCTTGAAAAACAAAGGTTTCGGCCGCTACTTCGTTTGGCTGCGTCCCGAACCCTCCTCCTCCTCTTCTTCCCCCTCCAACACCTCCACCCCATTTTCCTCGCGCGCCCTCGAACCCATCGGCTCCGTAGGCCTGCAGCTCGCCCGCCTCGAGGGCATCAAAGCACCGACGATCCCGGACGTAGGCTTTATCTTCCTGGAAAAGCATCAGGGCAAGGGCTATGCGACGGAGGCTGTACGTGTGCTAATGAAGTACTATGAGGAGGAGAAGGGAATAAGTGTTTTTTCGGGGTTTACGAAGGAGGATAATGAGGGGGCGAGGGGGTTGTTTCGGAGGCTGGGATTTAGGAATCATGGGGTGCGCAGAGTCAGTGGGATTATGTGGAGTGGGGAGGATATTGAGGCGGATACCTGGACGTGGGGGGTAGATGAGGGGGTGGGGTTGGAAGAGTTCGGGATTTGAGGGTGAGGTAGTGTGGATTGTTTTGTGAGATTGGTTTTTTTTCTTTTTGGGTTATCGGCAACAGCGAAATAGGTTATTACTAATCGTCGTAAGAGTGGGGATTTTGTTGCTACTTTTGTTGTACTAATCCATCTAATTGTTGTATGTTTATGGCTGTGGAGATACTTTCATCTCAGGACCCCCTTTAGATGCTTCAATATCTTTATCCTTGGTATAGCTGCTCGTCTCGCATTCCATGTCGACTCCATCTAGGTGTTCAAAACCAGTAACGACGTGCGAGATGAGCGTATCTCGTTCGGGGAAGAAGAAATTAGCAAAGTAGTATAAGAACATGGAAAGAAAGAAGCCATAAAGCCAGTTGAAAGTGAAAAGGTTCCGAAGTCCCTGTGTAAGCTTTAGGTCCGGATTGACTTTGTTGGCTAGTCCTGGTAGCAAGGGTATGATTGTGACGAACGTTGCTACAGCAGCCCGCCAGTTGATGCCATAGCGGCCGTATCGATAAATGCCGCGCGGGTCGTACAGGGCGGGGACGTCGTACTTTCTATGTTTGACCAACCAGTAGTCTGTAAACAGCACACCCGCCATTGGTGCCATGAAAATCGCATATGCGCTCATGAAATTCAAGAATGCTTTTCCCGATGCGACGATGATCCATGGACATAGCGCCCAGCCACCCGTGAAGGCTACCAGAATGGATCCTCGTCGCACATTGAAATATCTTGGTGCAAGTGTCGTGACATCGTTGGCAAAGGACACAGCATTGGCGCTGATGTTCACGCTCAGTTGGCCAATCAGCCAAATGGAGGCACAAAAGAACGCTGCTGCTCGACCGCCCGGTGTATCCATCCAAGTGTCGATGATCTGAAGCGGTGTCCAATATGCCTTGCCCCAGAGTTTTTGTGCGGCAGACGCGGAAACAATACCCATGAGGGCGACCATGGTTTTGAAAAACGGAATGACAGGAAGTTGCCAGTATTGTGCCTGGGGGTCTCTGCTGAAGCGCGAAAAGTCGGGAATGTTCACGGCGAGCGTGCTGTAGCCACCGGTAATGCTAGTCATGCTTGATAGCCATAGCCAAGCTCGCTCTGAACCATGCACAGCCGGTGGACGCGTGAAGAAAGTGCCATTTCCGCCAGCTTGAACAGCTACCCAGATGGTCATACCAACGGCGACTGGCGGCAGCAAAATTGTCTTGACCCAGAACATGTATTGCAGTTTATGGGTAGGGATGAGCAGGAACGGAAACTGAATGAGCCAGTATAGAAAGTACGAGATCATCCCAGCTGTAGTAAGACCAACTGATTCAGGGAGATGATTCGCCATTGTCCGGAAGCTGGGCCATATCGAATTGATAATCTGTTCATTTCTTGTTAGACTTTGGAATTGGGAGTAAGATAGTACAAGTAACTTACTGCAGCGACACATGTACCTCCATTCGCTGTTTGCACCCCAAACCAGAACATGGCCAAGACACCCCTACTAACAACGGCAAAATAGCTGAACCAGTATCCGAAGCTTGCGCGCGATGCGATAGGGAAAGGGATGTGGAGATTCGAGCCTATCGCTCCGTTGAGCACTGTTGGTACAGCATTGCAGAGGGCTGCCACGAGTACAATCAGTACAGCATCGGTTGCAGTCAAACCTGCTATAATCAGCATGCAATCATACTTTTCTCAAGTCATGTCGCGTACCTATTGTCAATATGGCCGAGCCAGAGCTCCATGTCGAAATCGTGACTAGATCACTAAACCAATACGTGATGAAAGCGCTTTTGCCCCATGTGCGCTTCTCCGGGGGAACCGGTTCCATATCCGCATTCGTCCAAACATAGACTGGAGCGATGCTGCTGTTTTGTTTGGGTAATTGCCAGCTCGACGGCTGCGTGAGGCGCAACTTTGCCTTTTCTTTTGCCGCATGACTGCGGTTGCTGAGAGAGGTTGCGGACAACATCGTAACTGTTTTCGCATCGAGAAGATGGAATATCTCAGTCTATATCCGCACCGAAGTCGCATCGTCTTAATATGGCGTCGAAAAGAACCGGGATGCTGGTTGGTATGTTGAGTCGATAGTGGAGATAGTCGCTGCTATCAAGCCCTATCAAGCCCAATCAAGCGAAAGATGGGACTGGCCTTATCATCTGCAGCGTGGTGATTGGGGCGGCGACTTTTGGACCGATAGTTGACGAATCCACATATTTGTGCATGCAACTGCGACTGTGTAATCGTGGGAGAGCATAGACAACCGTTACATGTGGGGAAGATCGGATACTGTACTGCAAGTGTATGAGTGAACGCCTCCGAGACTCGGCCGATTTGGCGCTACAAGAGCGTACGGCGTATGACTGCCCCTCTTCTCCCCGCAGTAGCTGTCAAACAGATCTTTTAGGGATTCTGGCTATGCGAAATGCGAACTTATTTTCCATTGTATGAACTGGTCTTGTCATATCAACCCTGTCATGAAGCATGTTCGCGGGTGCAGGTTGTGAAAGACAAATATAAAGTACGTATCGAAAGCTGGTACTGTGCGTCAACGATAAGAAGGCAGGGCAATAGACAGTACTTCATATGAATTGGGCAGAAGGATTTTCGTACCATCTACATCGCGAAATTGACTGAGGCAAGTTGAGATGCTTTAGGGTTTTGTTCATGAAGCTGACATGGAATGAACTATCCTCGACACTAATGCTGATGCTTTATTAAGTCACACATCGCTCACTGAACAGTCAAAAGATACAAAAATCAACGAATAGATATCAGTGAATCATATGTGCGAAGAGATTACTTGGAAAATCATCGGAAAATGAACTCTTATGAATTAAAGAACTCCCATGAAGCATCTACTGTTGAATAACTTTCTTACTATACGCCTTCATTTCTTCATCCCATTTAGTGAAATTACACCCCAGCTTGAAGGCATGCAACTTTCATTTGCGATTATTTCATAGTCGTCTACAAGCTGTGGGTTCTTTCGCATCTAAGCCATCTGGAAAAGTAGGCGCGAATATCTCCGTGTCTTCCAAGACCCGGAGGCTTATCACGCCAATGTTGACCGCGGCACCACAGACCTCGCGCATTCTCGTTTTGGTCTCAGGAACAATCGTGGCCTGTTGGGTCTGCAACTAGTCGTGGTATGTGACTGGTAATTTTAGGCGGACTTACATCATCGATACGACTCCATCCGTTTCTGCGCATCTTCCAAACGGTATCTGTTTATCAATCCTGATTCCTCGGCTTACCAAATTTGAATGTAAAGTCTTTGCCCATTGTGTTAGCGCACCGATGTTTGCGGTATAAAAATTGGTAACTGCGGTCGCCAGTGCGACTTCAAATGCGTCAGGCAACGCCATCTCGCCCTGGTCTTCATCAGGGATTTGAGTTTTTTTCGCTCTGGGCGGGAACATGTGCAGCGCAAGCCGAAATCTTATCAGGGGTTTGAATGCGCGCTGCAAGGATATAGGATCTGGTGTCTTTTTGTCAACGCAGACTGAGAGAAGATTTGGTTCTGGATTCGCTTCGAGCCGCTTCCTCAGTTTAGAGTGATTGCATACAAGAGGGAAGCCGCCGGGATGGGATCCGAAAAGAATCGCTATTCGGGCAGTTGGTGGGGCAGTGGCCTCGAATATCGCACACCACGATGCTTGTATAGGTTGCACGATTGCGTCACTGAAGATATTGAGTCGAAACAATGTCAGATACATTTTTGGAAATGAATCCCTCGTCGAGTGAGGAAGGAACTTGGGGAGATTTACGATTGGTTCTTCTCGCCCACAGGGCACGAGATCTAAGGACTGGCCAAGTAGTGTTTCGAACCGCCATTGATCTTGGAGGTCAGCTCTTCGGCTTCGCTCAACCTGCATGGCCGCAGTGGTCGCCGTCTCATACAGTATGCTAGTGCTGAGCACGGAAACTGGATTGTCACTGATGAAATACATGATTCCTGCCATCCTGGGAATGTCAGTTGGGAGCACTCCGCCTTGATCAGCTATAGTGTCTGTCGAAGGGGAAGGCACTACAAAAGCCAAGTGTATATACCAGGCAAAGATGATGAGTAGTGGTCGGTAGTATGTGTTTCAAGGTGGGTTATCAACTGTGAGTTTCACTATAGAGAACACATACGCCAATGCTGTCGTTGCATCCCTGATCCGAAGAAAGTCGAAACGATATGGTTGTCCAATTAGCACCTTGGTAAGATTGAGCGTCTCAACCGGATCAGGAAAGGCTCTTACTCGAACATGGCTCAAGCTATTGTCTGTCAGCAACGTTTCGTCAATTTGGATCCCGGCTTCCTAGTGCTTACTTTCAGCCCCTGTCATCTCTAGAGAAAAAAGCATCCAAAAGGCTTCTCACTGGCTGAACGTAGTGGTCAGCAATTACCTGAAGATCTGGAATTCGCACCTAGTGTGTTGAGCCACAGATAAAATCCGGCCACATCAGCGTACATGTCGTCTATAATGCCGAGAACTCCAGCTCCAGCAGGAATTGCTTTTGTATTGTGGAGGGGTACATTTTTGTTAAACCTGGCATTGCCGTGAAAGGCAATAAAAGTATCCCATGGGGCATTCAGGGTATGGAATATAAAAAAGCGGTTGATGTTGCAGATTCACAACAGACAAGGTGCTTACTGAGACTTTGAAGTAATTAGGTCTCCCATGGAAGGTCATCACCTGCTGTGCTGCTCTGCCATTTTTCTTATCGGCTGTTTAGATCAAATGCTTACTGGCCAGCACAAGCTACCACTCCATATTCCAAACATTGTACGCTCCGCAAGTCTCTTAGGCAAAATAATGCACAACCGTTCATACCTGTGGCCAGAAACAGCGTTCCTTTCGCTCCAGACCGTCCATTTGGAAGCCGTGGCGTTCTGCATCTAGAGGACCTAAAGTGCATGCACTGCAAGAATACGCATGAACTAGCTGTCACATAAACGCCTAGTGTTCATCGAGAGCTGTAAAATCAGGCGAATGTACACCAAAATGGCCCCGCATAACTTTCAGTCGTCTGAACGGTGAATCGAGATCAGCCTTGAGACGCCTCATCGCTGCTCATTAAACCCGACATAGAGAAGCTGATATAGTTCATGACGGCAGGGGCAACTGCGCCCTTGTTCGGTATTTGGGTCTAGAATTTTAAGTGCTATATAAGGACTGTCTGTCGCGATCCCAAGGCCTTGGCCCGCTAAGAGTCAGTCATGATGGACAAGTAAAGTCAACTTCCCCGGCCGACCTCAATCACAGCCACAAAACTCTATTGTTTGTGACTGGCTACATTAGTTTCTGTCAAGCAACGGACTGGTCCGTCTTTACACGACACACTTCCTGATACTCCGCAGCGTCCTCGGTACTATTCTCAATCTAAAGGAACCATGAACTGATCTCATTCATCGCGTCTACGAAGTTTCAAGTTTCATTTATTGAAATTCAAAATCTCAGAAATCAGGTTCTTCTGGTATTAGCTTGTCCAAAATCAACCTCCATTAGCCAACTTCAGGCGCTTCCTCAATCTGCACATCATGGTCAGTGAACCCAGGGCTCCCAGATGTCTTTAGCACTGTATTAAATTTCTCAGAGCAATGGATAATCTGCCAGTCGGCCTAACGGAAAATGTGCGTTACTCGCCCGCTTGTTGCCCAACAACAACGTATTTGCTTAACTTCTTTGATAGGGCGAACAATCCAAAATCCAACCCAAACATGGTCCCAAAATATTATGCTCTGATCGGAAACTTTCCTACGTGGCTGGAGTGAACAAATAAGAAGGGGGAGCTTGATCTGGGTACGTTTTTCGACCCTATCAAGCCAAACTTGGCAACCTGCTTTGATGTCAAAGGACTCAAACTAGTCATCAGAGAGAGGAACCAGGGAAAGTATCTGTTGGAGGATGAAAAAAACGGAGTTCATTACATAGACATGGCAGGCAGGAGATTGTTCAAGTCCGCAGAAGATATGAATATCGGTCGAGCAGTACGGAAAGTGCTCGAGGGGTGGGACAAAGACGATATCCGACAGTAATTCGCCAGTGTGTCGTAGATTGAGTTTACCATGAATTGATCAGTCATCTGATCCTTGAGAAATGTGACTTTTCGGAGATTCATGTCCAATTCCAAATGCTAGACGCCCTTTGTAAGACGAATTCACCATCCATTGCGTGTTCAAATGTCATTAAACCATCTTTTCTGTCTTTGAGGTCAGCCACAACCCTTCATATAGATTTCAGTTCCGTTGGATCGATGATAGTGCGGGGTTCTCGAGCGCTGATTGAGATGCAAGGCTCTAGTAGGCCGTACTATGTAAGCCGTGTTCAGTCGTGGAAGCCAGGTTGTGTAGAACCCCTCGATGTCACCGACATGTCCGGAACACAGCCCAAGGAAGAATTTTCCTGGCCAAGATTGGCTCATGCAGGCAACTTGTCTTGATCACCAATCAGCTACACACCTCTCTTAGCTTGGTGCGGAGTAAAGCCGCCTCCCGTAGTGATAGTAAAACCACCCACGGTAGTTAGCGAAGACACGAGCTCGGTAGACGCAAATGAAAGCGTCTCATCTAAGTAGTTGACGGTCAGAGATGATGCGGCATTGGTGGTGCCATCTTTGGAGTCGGAGCCTAAAGTGACAGACGCCTTGGCCACTACCTCTATAGTGGCTTTCGCAATGACAGCCACAATACCATCCTCACTCAATGAAGGTGTAACCGGCAAATAATTGTACCCGCAGATAGCGTACAGCTGGTTTGGAATCTCCCAACGAACAACGTCACCATCGTTGGGCACACCCTTGGCCGCGAGGATGACATGAGTATTGACAGGTATATCACTTGGCTCTGAAAGTGGCGGCTTAAGGGAAGATGTGTGGTTTTTGCTGGAGATGAAATTATTATGGATAGCGACCGAGTAGCTATCACGAAACTCTCCGATTGCTTCACCATCAGAGATCTGTACCCTCGGAGTATGCTTAGCCATCTTCGAGACGGATACGGTACGAAGCAAAAAACAGTGTCGGGATGCAGGATTTAACCCCGTTCGCATATCCATCTTGACAGGGCAATGACTCTGTTAACCAGTTTCTTCTAGGCAGAACTGAGCGACGAGCTGAGGAATCTGGTTGGTACCGCATGTACATAATAGGCTCCCTCAATCTCGCTTGGGCGATGCAATGGCGGCCCGCAGATTCTTGTCCATGCTTAGTCCTCGCCCTACATCCTGCAATCACACATGCACATAGCCCCCGGGCCAGGCTCACTGAGTGTCTCAGCTACTCGCTTCTCATTCAGCCACTTCAGCCCTCTTTAACCATTGCGGCTTCTTGACTCGCTTTCACCGATACCCCCATGGACTACACGCTGCCTAAGCGTCGCGTCAGCTTGAGTCTCAGGTGCTAAGAAGGTTGAGCTGGGAAAGTTGAAAAAAGACAAGACCGAAGTAAAGGGGACAATCTTGAATTATGTGGTCAAGGACGGAGTTCCACAATGCGGCGATGGCGACCACCCAAACAAAGGCCAAGTCCAGGCCTTCAATATCATCGTAGATGAGTTTAATGCTTCGAGGCGAAGACAAGTATGTTTTCTCCACCGATCTGCTACCCTGTTCAAAGTTCTGATAGTTGACAACTTCACAGAACGCTTCTCCATTGGTCTCGCTGGATCAGCTCAGGGCATCGGCCCCAATGCTGGTCCCTGCGCCATTTTCACACCTGAGCCCAACGCGGGTTATCAGATCCAGCCGTCATCCAAGTTCTACATCGCTTTTGGTGACTTCCGGGAGGGCGAGATTATCGATTGTGTGAAGAAGTCAAAGAATGCTTGCATGGTGGACTTTACCAAACTTGACCATGCAGGTACAACCGAAGTTATGATCAACCACGACACTGACAACATCTTGACTATCCAAGCTGATCCCTGATTTCTACGGTAATCATTTGAAGGGATGCCCAACTATGTATAGTTCGATCTCTATGTTATGTAGATAATCCATCCATTTTTTTGTGGTCAATTCACCTCAAGTACTATATTAGCTTACCAAATTTGTGAACAGTCTAACAACACTACTGCAGAATCAGGGAGTACGTTGTAAACTAAGTTTAGCTTAAGAAGATTCGAATCTAATTCCACGGCGATGCCACCATGGATCACTGTCAGCAATGACGGAATGCATGTACATCTTCCAACTGTGATGGTATAGGAATTATCGGCCGGGATTCGTGAAATGGGGAGGTAAGTATTCGGCCGAACGATAGAATGCTGATAAGATAACGCCCCCGCAAACGATGGATCAGGGACCCTCTAACACAGTTGTCTTCACATGTTTATTGCATGGATCTGCAGCCCAATGCAGGATCGTTTGACATGAGTTTAGATAAGGCCCTGATAACACTCAAAGCGTATGTCGGGTGCGTTAGAACAGCTAGCACGGTGACAACGGACAAATAGGAATCGCGCACGACTCGAAAATATAGGTATGAACAACTCCATATTTCGACAGCTTGATTGTATGAATGCATCACTCTTAATTTCCATTACGTTCGGAAAGAATTTCCAATCTGTTTCCTAACACGCCTTGAAGAAGAGTAATGTCCGTGGACTGACCCACCAGAAAACATAATCACTGCAAACATGTCACCAGCCCGTCTAGCGCTTGAGTCGAACTTTGAGGTCAAGGAGATGACGAAGAACATAGATGAGAAATACAACTTTGGTGCAGTAGTTGAAGAACTCGATCTTGGAAACATCAGTGGTATTGTAATAATGTATCAGAAGACTTATCGAGAAACCCTAACGTTGGTGTGTAGATGCCGAAGTGAAAGCTTTATCCGAAGCTATCTGGATACACAAGCTTGTAGTCGTAAAGGGTCAGAAAAACCTCACACCTATCAAGCAGTGGGAGCTCGTTACTAGATTCGACCCCAAAGCTCCACAATTCCACTCTCACGGTGACGTAAAAACGTTTAGCAAACAGGGTGGACTTCTATCGGTATGCATGGCCTCATAGAGATCAGATACAAAAAATTTCTAACCTAAGATGCAGAAAGGAAGAGATGTCTTGGGCATACCCGGTGCGGAGAATGTCCGTCTAATCGGCAAGGGCTACCAAGGAGAAGACCATTACGGGCTTAAAGATGTTACACTCAAGAAAGGTATTCTTCACGTATGGCACGTTAACGTTCCTACAAACGAAGAATACGAAGCTGGTCATACCCGTTTCCAACGCTGGCACATCGACGCACCCCTCTACGCCCGCGACCCAGCCTGGTTCACAACGCTCCGTTGCATCAAACGGCCCACAGCCCCAGCCCTAACCATCCACTGGGACGACGGCAGCGGCCAAACCATGGAAACGGAACCCGGTCTCACCGCTTTCATAAGCAACGTACAAACCTACGACATGATGACCCCAGAAGAGAAGAACCTCGCAGACCACTCCTGGGTCGAGTACGCCCCGTACCCCTACCAATGGATGAGCGACTGCAAAGGCCACCCCAACGGCCTCGGCGTGGTAAGTCAAGGCAAAGAAAAACACCTCGCAGACCTCCCACCTTATGACGAAAAAAACATAAAACGCTGCCCAATGGTCTGGCTCAACCCCCTTACCCACGAACGCGCCTTCATGGTCCACGGCATCTGCGTGCGCCGCGCCTTTTTCCGCTCCAGCCCGCACGGAGAATCGACTGTAGTCGACGACGTGGCTGCAATACGTGACTGGCTGAGACCAATCCAGGAGCGCGTATTGAAACCTGAGTATGTGCTGTTGCCAAGGGTGGAGGAAGGGGATGTGGTTATGTGGGCGAATTATCAGCTTTTCCACTCGGCGGTGGACTATCCGGATCATTGGGGGGCAAGGTGTATGCACCAGGCTAATATTGGGGCGAGTGAGGGACCGAAGGGGCCGGTGCCAGTTCCGGACGTTGCATGATGGGGATGTTGTTTATATAGCAGGTGATTCATGACATTAGGGGCGGTCCAGTGTGCTAGATGTAGAAGTGAGGTTTTATACTGAGGATTTTTGTCTATGATTTGATCGTTATATATCGCGACACCGAAGGCGAATTACCAACAACTAGTCGTTTGAGGACTTTCTGGGAGCTGTACAAGCATTACATGACAGAATAGGTATTGGTGTTTTGGACGGCTTAGAGAGCTACCATCAAGATCTTGCAGTCGCAATAAGTCTGGCCGGGCATATCATGAGTATTATTCAAATGCTTTCCACGATGTCTGTACGGTAGAAAATCGACGTTCCTCGACCTTTCGTGGGCATCGACCATCGTGAGCTTGTTGAAGAAGATAATTAGTACACGATACAATCACAAGCAGTCATACAAAAATGTCGAGTTCATCAAGACATGCGATATAATCGTACATTACACAGTCTTGCGCATTAGTAAGCTTGCACGTGCTATAGGGACGTTCCGAGTATGTTGGGCGGTCTTTTGATCAGGCGAATAATCGCTGGTAAGTATAGAACACCGTGCTCACGCCAAAGCTACTTGAAATTAGGCTTTGTCATATCTTCGATAGACTTTGAGATGTCTGTAATGCGATCATTAACTGAGGTTTGTGAGTGGGCCATGATGGGGGACATAAGAAGGGACTTAAGTGGGGGAGTTGTAAAAGAATATCGTCTAGACAATAATATGATTAAGAGCGTAGCCACTCGCCTGCGGCGGGTTCCAGCGCAGCTGACGTAGCTTAACTAGTAATAAGCTATGCCTTGGCACGGATACTTACTTGAATATAGCGAAAAGCTAGCTGTTTCACGTTGACTAGTGCCGCCCGTATATAGTTTATGCTTAGGGCCTGTTTCAGGCTTTCTTAAATCTCCGTAGTTTGATACAAGTAACGAAGCCCAAACGGGTAGCTTTACAAAAAAGCAGATGTAACCATACAAACACGCCGCAAGAGTACATTAGAAAGTTGAAGCCGCAGGATCATAAGGATCGAAGTCGTCCAGGATGCTGAGGTGCAAATACTGCAACGAAACATTCCAGCGCAATGGTTATCTACAACGGCATTTGCTTCGGCACTCAGGTTTGAAGCCCTTCACGTGTACTGTGTATACAGCAGCGGCCAGCGACAGGGGTCTATTTCCCCTATGTTGCGCACTAGCAGCCTTCCGCCAAGTGAGCCTTTAGTAGTACTTACCGAGAACTTTACCGAGCATGGGCAACGTCCTGTCGTAAGACCACCTACTCTTCCGATAGGTCCGGCGCCAGCATCAACCTCCATCGGATCAGGCCCACAAGCATTGGTCACTCAGCCGCCGAACAATTTCCCCGTCACGACTGCATTGAGCAGTTCATTAGCAGAAGAGGCAAATACCATGAGCTGGCTTTCCATCTTCACCATATCGGATCCCGTTGGCACGGAAGAGTCTGATGTTTTTGAGGGCTATTTTCCACACGACATGCGTTACGCGGATGAGATATCACGCAGTCTTGGCTTCCCATTTTTGTGGGCGCAGCCCCTCGAGGTTTCTTCTCAGGATCTGGATACTCTGGGACAGGGAACATCTAACTCCTATATGCCCAACGATAGCAGTCTGGTTGGCCTAGATACCACTGGATGTGCCAGTCTCATTGAATCCGGAATCGAGTCTCGTACCACTATCGACATCGACAGCAATGATTTCATGACACGTGCACATCTCAATGACACTCGCACTCATCCGACAGAAGTTTGCCCACCCTTTCCTGTGCTTCAGGAAGAAGAGTTGCAGATCGCTGGTGCTGAGCTCTTTGGCTACGTGAGTTCTACATCTTAGAGCGCGGGCATGATGACGAGTCATTCCTTCACTCTAGATTGCTTCATGCTTTCGTAGAGCTATACTTTGAGTATTTTGATCCCCACCTTCCGTTCTTGCATCCGATGAGAGTAGAGTCAGACGATCTATCGTGAACGCTTCTTATTGCAGTGGCTGCTATCGGCAGTCAATACTCTGAAGTCCGAGGTGCATCTGCGTTCACTATGGTCTTACAAGACCTATTGAGCAGAGCTACACATCTCAAAGTAAGTCTGAACATTCTGGGTAACGTCTCGATAGCTTACAAAACAGAACATACAGACCACTACAAAAAGACTAGATTTATCATTAGTACAGTATGTGCTCTTGCGAGATGTCGGGCTAATGTTTTCTAGCTCGCTTTTACACCAGACTGTTTTCCAGCAGGAGAAGAGTATGCTCATAACATTATGTCGCGGTCTGAGGATCCCCGCTGACTCTAGTGATGCTAACGAGTCTGCAATTGGCCAAGATCTATGTAACACATGGTTGGCGTGGCTGCAGGGAGAGGAAGTTGTCCGCTTAGTACACTGCGTACATGGTAAGTTCAATAGGAATGTCTTTATGAAGACGTGGCATCTAACATCTCGCTTAGTGATTGAGTGCCTCCAGCTTGTCTTTTTCGACCTGCGGCCGCTATTCAGACTGATAGACTTTACGCGACGGCCTCCGTGCAACGATAACATTTGGATTTGTCGTGACGCAAGACGTTGGAATCAAGAAAAGAGCAAAGAACAGCCAGACAGTGGATTACGGCGTTGTGGGTCTTTTTCAACAAGAAGCAGCGTTCTGAGTCTCTATGCCGACGAGAGAGCAATCCTGGATTCCATGCAATCGTCACGGCGGTTAAGGTCTCTCATAAGATCTAAGCCAGTTACGGGTTTGCAAGGGCAAGATACATATTCTGCTCGTAGGAAGCTATTATCCCTTGGAGCCCCGGAGGAAGACATTGCCTTCTTGGACGCAGTAATAGATAACGCCATTGTCCCTGAATCCCTTCCGATTCCCGGTATGGGATACAATGTGCAAGACCCTATGGTACATGTCGTCGCCATACTACGGGAAATTCCATTAAGTATGATCTACACTTCTGTGGGGTGGCAAGCAAATAATGTTGAGATGCAAGGATCGAGAGAGAGGTTGAAGTATATCTGCAACACCAGAGCACTGCACGGGTTTGCTTGTGGCACGCATCTAAGATTTACTCGTCCTTACGAAGTATCCCCTATCCTGCGTATTATTTCTCCTTATCACTTCCCATCGCTGTTAGTTATATCCTTCTTTACGATCAGATCTTACAAGGTCCAGCACCACAAGGAGACCTTCTCCGTCTGGACAAGATCGTCAAGAAATCCGACCTAGAGGTATGGACAAGCTGCGCCCAAGATGTCCGCGTGCATATTACCGGCATCGGCACTTTAGAAAATTCCGAGAGTATTTATGGATTGCTTGTTGATGTGGAGAAGATGCTGCGATCTCAGAGACCATGGCAAAGGATAGCTCGAGCACTTGCATGTTGTTTCTCACAAATAAGGTCCGATGGCGGGACTGATCATACCAGTGCTGCTTTCGCAACATCTAAGACGATTCTCGTTACTTCACACTCGCATCTACATAGGCAGGTTCGACGAGCAACAAACTTGGTATGCTTGTTACTAGCATTGAGATAACCATGCACACACATCATGACTAACCCCATCACCCGAACAGTCCAGCGTCTCCCGATGTCAAATGCAGTATTCAGTGGACGAACAATCACCGCAATTGCATCTGCATTTCGATCTACTAAGATACTGCACCAAAGTGTTTACTTTCGCACTGTCTGCATTTGGATTGCCAAGTGTTCATACCCCTTTACTTGATCGCAAAATTTGAAATCAATTAAAACCCCTCGTTCCGAGTACGCCCTACAACAAAAAACTTAAAAATGGAAGACGTTGCGACACTCGAATTCTTTGGTATGCTATTCTGACTTTCTTCTCCTGATACTGGGACTGTAAGCTAGTTACGTCCAATTCTGCGAAGCCACCACGATCTTTAGGTTGCCGCGAAGGGATTGACGATCTTGCACGATTCCTGGCTCGAAAAACCTGCGCTTAGGAAGAGACACTGAGAGCTCGGGACGTCATAGACTTAGATTACATTGTTATCTCGCATGCCCATTTCGATCAGTAAGAGCTCCTGTTCACCTTCTGCAACTTCAAATTAACTCGAATAGTCTTCCAGGGGCCGACCGTCTTGCTTTGAAAACTAGTGCTACTGTCATTGCAGATTGCGAGGCTATTAACTGTCTCAGGCAAGCTAGAGTGCCTGAAAATTAGCTGATTGCAGTTGCTGGAGGGGAACGTGTCCCTTTGTTCACAAAAGACATCCTCACCAAAGCTTCAGAAAACAGTATCGAATTCGCTCCCAGCCCGCCTCTTGCACTACCTAAGCCTCACGTCAAGTTTGCATCATTGGCTGTTCATGTTTGGCCTTCTCTGCATTCTCTAATGCTTAGAGTATCTCCTCATGACATCCCAGAGGTTTTCGATACCAATAAATCGGACCAGGGGGGTGGTGACGGCTACGCATGCTCATTAGACATCACGCAGCTAATTTGGTATGGCCTCTTTCGCCTGGAAGCGTTTATACCAGAAGATCACATGGATGCCGGTACTAGTGCCTTTTCCGATTATATACAGGATCGCAAGAAGAACATAATGTCACCTTGTGACGGTGGTAAGTTCATGTGTAACTTCATTATAGGTGTCAAGATCGTGCTGTTCAATACACATCTGGGAGCTTACGAGGGTTTGACGTGATACCTAGAGCCGAAACCAGATGTGGCAATACTAGGCGCAGGTGGTCGAGCGAATCTGAATGGTAGACCGTTTGTGGGGTCCGCTGCAGAGTTTCTCAAGCTTCAGACTCAGTGGCTCCACGAGCCTCCGCAGATCCTCTTCTGTCTACACGATGAAAGGCATGCTGAAGGTTGATTTTTGATCGAAGTCATACGCTGACATTCAATACTATAGCATCATCAAACCTTACAAGACCGACGTCATAGCTGCCAAAGAAGTTATAGAACAACATACTCGAAGCAAAGTGCTTGGTACCGAGCTCGCGACCCCTTACGTCTTGTTTCAGAAATAGGACCTATCATATGTACGTAGCTAGTATTAATGCATCCATATATATGACTTTCTTCACTCCCTCTTTTTTGATAGATGTTATCTGCTAGATTCGAGTATGAAGCGGTTGTGAGAAGGGAGGTCGAAGACCTTAGCAAGCAAAGCGCGCAGTCATAGGGCTATAGAAGGATGAGCAAGAATTCAAACAAAGGGACAAAAGGTTGTCCATCCATCCCGTCTGGCAATCATTATCTGCTTTCGGCCATTTGTTTAAAGATTTAAATTTTCCTGGAATGTTTTCACGACATACGTACAGTCCTGGGATCTGGATGTTCTGGCGGCGCTTCGTCAGCATTTCCTCTCAGACGTTCATCGGATTTTCCGATTGTCGTCTGCACGATTTGTAAGGATCAAGGCATGATCCCCCTGGCATGTTGCGATAATGCTCTGATTGTTTTGCGAATACAATCATGTCAGGTGGACTGCAGGCGTTAACATGGGTGCGGTTGGAAAGAACAGGTGTAAGGTAAATTACGAGACATCGCTTGAGGAACTACGTATAGAGACTGAACAGCAGATTTAAACACATTTTAAACAGGTTCAAACGAGCACTAACGTTGTGGATAAGCGAGCGCCGCAGGCAAGCGAGAGCCGCACCTCACCAACTCTACACACCTCTCCCATCATAACAAACAATGGCTCAACGCAGAGCTACTCTACTAGCGTCAAACGAAGCAGATATTCAGCTTGCTATTTCTTCTATTAATTCCTATCAAATACAGAGTAATCGTCGTGCTGCTGCTATCTACAGCGTGTCTGAACGAACAATCCGCCGCCGACGCGCTGGTGTAACTGCCCGACGCGATTGCCAGCCTAACTCAAAGAAGCTTACTAAGCTAGAAGAGGAGGTGATAGTTGATCATATATTAGATCTTGATCTACGTGGATTTGCTCCTACGTACGCTGCCGTACGCGATATAGCTAATAAGCTAGAAGAGCAGGTGATAATTGATCATGTA